ACAGACAAAAAAAAAAATTCTAACAATAATCCTATTATCTTTAAATAAAAGATATTGTTCAATATGCAACAAGACGTTTATAAATTTAGCATTAAAAATGACTGAAATTGTGCACAAGTGGATAAAAGCATAAAATTTTCACCAACAACTCAGAAAATTATGCTGATCATTTTAAGATATGGTGGCAAATCATAGTATGGCCAGAACAGGCTTAAATCCATGATGGTAGTTTCCGTTATCTTGGATTTCTAAAAATCTTAATAAATTTTAAACAACTTATAAATTTTTTTAAATGGTCTAAGACTGTTGGCTATTTCATGTACTGCAATGTAATGGAAATGCATTCCAGTGCCAAATGCAATCCACAGCTGATTGCATAAAATTTTCTGCCAAAAAGATATTACTATAATAATAACATCTGTATCTACTGTACTTATTGCAATATTCTTGTAACCAGTCTTTGCTGCATTATATTCATGCAAAATGAGGCAAGTATCAGTCTCTTCATGAAAACATGGTTCACGATTATCAAAGGTACAAGAGCTTGAAGATAGAAGATGTTCCACAGCGGTGGCTATTATAACTTTTGACTCGGGTAATTGAATTGAAACTGCTTTTTCAAATAAAAATTGAAAAAGCTCTGTTTTTTTGAAATCATTCTTTAGAAATTCCTGCCATTTATGTGGGACAGGAACTTGAGGTCCAAAACCTACTTTGGTTCCAGTTCCTTGTTTTGCACGTGTAGTAGATTTCAAGATATGAGCTTTATAGGTGTCCCAGACAAGATCTAGCCGTTGCGTTGAAGCGATTTGTAAAAGGAGATAAGGCAGGAATACGTCTGATGCATAAAATGCGAACGTCTTAGCCTTACCAGGCTTTAATAACTGAACAGTCATAGCTCCATCATATCATCATTATAAAGAGCCATCATATCAAATGTAGGTGTGAAAGGATTAATATCAATGCTTTGGGTAATTTTTTCTAAGCATGGAACCAAATCAGACTTGGCTCCGAATCGTAGAGTCCCAAACTTAGAGATTGAAGGATGATATGACTAATTTTCATGCTCAAAAAATGTTTCCAAACTCCCGTCTCTAGTTTGGTAGCAAATGTATAACCTAGAAAAATAGTCACAATTACTTTGCGTGGATTTCAAACACTTGCTAATATTAGACACAATTGCTGATTGCCGAGTTGTAAATGAGGACAAATTGTTGCGTTTTATGGATGCATACACACTAGTAGTTCTGTTAACAAAGCAATCTTGAACAAAATCTTTGTACTGAGATTGGCATACATCACGAATTGACATAATATTGGCTGCAGTACAGATAACAACACGCCTGCTATGTAATACCACAATCTTCACTTTCAGCTTGAAATAGGTTGCCCATATCAGCTAGTGTATCAATTAGATATTTACATCTTTTTTGAAAGCTCTGAATAATTTCTAGTTGATCATGGTGTCTGCAATCAGCATTGGTCTCAAGCATTCCATATTGAAGTTCTTCAACAAGCCTAGATACTCTGGTCGTGTTCGTCTTGTGTTAAACCAATAGCACCATCATCACCTTTAACTTCAGCGTTGCATTGTTCATGGCTTTGATCAATAGCGATTGCTGAAAATTTTCGTACAGTTTTTTTAACAGTAAATTTTCCGAAGTTAAATGCAGCTAAATTTAATGGACTATTCTGCGAATAACAAACCATGTCTCGAATGTGCACAGATAACCATTGAGCATAATGAGTTCGGTCAAGTGAAAAAAACCATGGCACCAGTTTTGCCAAGCTATCTAAGTATAGATGAAAATTTCATGTACGCAGAAACCTGATAAACGTAAGCAAAATAAGCTGAACTTCTTTGACTGTACTCCAATAAGCAAACTGTGGATAAACCATTTGCTTTACGCACCAGCTAGTGAAAAGTAACGATTGAACGCCATCGTCAAGCAAACTACAATAGGACTCGTATGCTTGATACTGTAGTATATTATTTGCAGAAACAGAATTTTCATGTACATTCCGACAACGTTTTACATGAGATTCAGACAAAAGAGTTTCGGTGCCTGATGTTACAATTCAGGCTGCAGTAACAGCTTTAACCCAGCCGCTTTCCTTTAATAAGCTAACAAGTGCTTTAAGACAAGCCATTTCTATGTGCAGGTCATCCATCATAACAACGAATTTATCTTCTCTGTACAAATCAGGCCAGTTCCATTGAATAGTTTTAGCAATAGCATACAGCGGTTGATCAAACGTAATAACAGGGATCAGTTCAGAATGAAGATGATAGATAGAATTTTTTATTACATCCATTGAGTGTCGGATTATGGCAACACTATTGAAAGAATCCTAAAATAGTGGCAACAATAAAAATTTTGATAAATTTATATCTGGATCAAATTGTCAGTTGATCCATCGGTTTTATGAACCTATCTAACAGTTTTCAGCCACAATTGTTTTTTATCGAGTTCTTATTCCCACACAGCACCACTCCCTGTAAATGGACCACTGCTGACAAGTATAGCTGGTTGATCATTTTTAAGCCTAACTGGGGTTACATCTGAGTATGATTCCGGTGGAGGTTTTATTTTCTAACTACCACGCAATTTAAGAAGCAACATAACAATGCGTGGAACTCTAGTATTGTAATTATTAGGTTGCTGAGCTAATGAAATAGCTTTCCCATGGAATGCTCCACGAGCTGTGGTTGCTATGGGGTTGTGGTCAAAATTATTGACAGCTGCTACAGTAAACAGTTAATTTCTCAGTTTCAGAGGACACACAACTTGATTACTAATATACTGATCACACACTTCATTTCTTAGTTCAGTTGCCAGTGCAAGTACTCAATCATATGATATATTTAAACCAAGATAAAACAACTCA